AAATAAAATGATTTTTTTTTAACCGACACAGAATAGTAATTGCGAGTGATTTCCGTTTCTCAGCAAAGCATCTCACTGGCGATCATTACTTTATGTATAATTTTTTTCTATCTTTTCGACTGCTTTCATCTAATGTAACATCTCTTGTATGTATATCTGAAGAAGGCTCAATCATGAGATCGAAACATGTCATATTTTAATCGATTATAGAATATTATATTAATCATATTTTCTTTTGATTTTTCATGTTTTAATATACTTTATTATATTTGACTCTTATGTGCCCTTTATTCTCTCATTACAGAATAGTAATGTGTATAAATAATTTTTATTTTTTTTCTATTATATTTTTAATGGAACAAAGTACTCATATTATGTTTTTACACACACATACATTTTTATATGAAGTATCCTTTGTAGTATTAGAATAGTCAGTATATATTTGTTAAAATAAATTATAAAATCGGTATATTACTGTCATCTCAAATTTGCCAAAATGAACTGAAGTCACTAAAGTCAATGAAGTATATTATGTCACAAAGCGTCGTCTATAATAAAATTTTAAGGCGTAAAACTTAAGCTTCAAACTCTAAGTCATAAGAAATTGGCCAATTATAGTCGAATATAAGGAGAATAATTAGCTATGGTTGGTCAATTTCTTATGGCTTAAAACTTAAAACTTAAGTTTTACGTCTTAAAATATCATTGTAAATTCTGCTGAAGTTAAGATTTTGGATCTGTTTTTTTGTAGCTAAGTGTACATTTTTGGAATTTAAAGTGAGATAGGTATGTGTTTAATATTTGACGAAAGCAAGAAAGAGAATTCTAGTGCAGTCTAGTGCAAGAATAAAAAACAAACATTATATTTCCAGATTAAGTGGTATAGCAAAGAGCATAAACATGCATTATATAAAATTCACAGAAATTATCAGATTTAATGAAAAAATATTAATAATTAATAATTATTTATTCTTTAGTCAAGTATTATTTCACTTACTGTCATTTGAAATGTATTCGGCTGTACGCGTTTAGAAAAGAATTTCGTGGATCTGGGATATCCCTCGGCCACCTGCAGAAATGTTGTGTGTATGTATAAGTGGTATGTGCCGATGTGTATGTATGTGTGTGGGTGTGCGTGTGCGTGCGTGACGTCTGTTCTTTATTTATAGAACTCCAAGGTAAATAAACATTATGTTAAATGATTATAAATCCCCTTATTGATTAGACGCTAACCTATACGTCTCAGATCACAGGCGAGCGTCGCATCAATCACAATGTTGAGTGTGTCGTACTCATAGTCAGTATTATCGATATATATTATTATTTACCGAATTTAAACCATTTCTTGTCTCTATAATCGCCACGCCATGAACTACGAAAATTCAAAACTCTGAAATTCGCGACGTTTTTAGACGTTTCACAAACTCCACTACTCGATCTATTTCCTCTGATTCCCCTCGTCATCCCTTTCCCATGTTGTAATGTTTATAGTGTTTATACAGCCGAATATGGCTGCATTCGGGGAGATGTTATTCGGGAAGACCACTGACTTAAAGATAGCAGACAAATTGAATATTTATGATTTTATTTATGTTTATATAACTTGGGAATCGTTTAGGGAAATTTAGGAAAAGTATTTAAACATTTGGATAATGGCACCGACGAGATACTAATAAAGATGGTTGGTGCATATAGAAGTCGCGTGCTTGTTAAAATTCAAGATTAAAGAGTAAGGAACTAATAGTACGGTAATAATTTCATAATTTATTAATTTCGTAGAATGTCCATGTATATGTATACATTAAAAACTTAGTAATACTCGATTTTTATTTAAAACTGTGATTTAATGTTATCATCCGAGTTTGATTATCGATAGAGACGATAACTGCAGAGAAAAAATTATAATTTTTCAGCAATATATAGGTAAGATATTATTTATTATAGCATTGAAAGTATGAATACTTACAATATTAAGAATCTTTATTTTAAACCGCATATGTGAGAAACACAATCAATACTAGAAATTAAAAATTCCTATTATGGTCGAAGCTGGATCTTCATTTATTAATCATTCATTTATACATTTATATTAACAGTTTCAACATATTAACATCTTTATAATATGATGACTTGATGGTAGCATCAAATTATTAAATTGCTTGTTAATTTAATTTACTATAGTAGTTTTAATTGCGTTTATGCGGGGTCTACAATAGAAGTCGTAGCAGTCGTAGGGTCTTAAGTCGTAGAAAATTGACCAATCATAGTCGATTATTCTTCTCATATTCTATTGTGATTGGTTAATTTTCTACGCCTTAAGACTCTACGACTGCTACGACTTCTATTGTAGACCCCGCTTATAGTTCAGAAAAACAATTCGGCGTGCAGTTTGAAGACTACAATATGGTATATATGCAAGTACATATATAGGATGCGATCCACTTCACGCTGTAAATGTTTTGAAGCATTCTTTGATTGGTCAATTCGAAAAATTCTTTCTTCTGATTGGTCAACGAAGTGTTTGCAGCGTTAAGTGGATCACACCTATAGTGTATATAGAAATTTAAAATTGAATTATTTAAAGCAATAAAGAGCCAGCTTCGACCGTAATAGGCATTTTAAATTTTTAGTATGCATACTTATTTGTACAGGATTTATGTAATAAAAAATCACGAATTTAATAATGTATCATCGAAGTATTTATGTTAATATAAAATCATAATTTTTTATTAATTGTCGGTAATATTATCGTTCTTTAATTATCCCTGGACCTCTCCCGGGCCCCATTGGGTGCGTTCGGAAATCCTATTCTGAGTAGAAATGTTACCAACCGCTGTTCGAAAATTGACTCGGGTTTTGCAAAATTGACATATTATTTACGTTTGAGTAATATTACTAGATCATACTCTAAAGGTGCAGACACATGGAGCCGTCAAGCGTCAAGCAGCGGAAGCAGCAACCAATCAGCTGGACGATACTGGTAGTGGTGTAAAAAATATTTTTTACGCCACTGCATTTATCGCCTCGCTGATTGGTTGCAGCTTCCGCTGCTTGACGCTTGAAGCTTACATGCGAATGCATCTTAAGGTACATTTGCGTGCAAGCGTCAAGCAGCGGAAGCAGCAACCAATCAGCTGGGCAATTTTTATTGGTATATCCACACGAACTTGCATAAATATATGCATAAAGAAAATTATCCAATTGCAGTTCTCTTTTAAAGTCGTTCATAAAATGTGATTGGATACTTTTCTTTATGCATACGTTTATGCGGCTATGCAAGTTTGTGTTGATATACCTTTACAGTGGCCATCCGACGAGATATTAGGTCTGTTTTTTATTGCCGCACTTTCTGAACAAGTACACACAGTGCAATAAGTTGAAGTGAAACAAATATACGTTTGTTAAACTTTAACTTATTGCACTGGTTCAAAGTGCAGCTATAAAAAACAGACCTATTATTAAAGACCGTCAACCCTGGGCAAATTTTCGGCGGTATAAAAAGGGCCCCAAGGGCCCGGAGATAATTCAAGAACGCTGACATTACCGACAATTGATATAAATTTACTATTATTAACATAAATATTTGGCTCATGCATTATTAAATTCATGATTTTTTTATTACATAAATGTCCCATAAGTAAATATACATACTTGTAAAGCTGTAATATCCTATATATTGCAAAAAAATCACAATTTTTTCTCTGCAATTATCATCTGTATTGATAATCAAACTTTGATGATAACACTGAAATCTCAATTTTAAAGAAAAATCGAGTTATAAATGCATAAATACATCTACTAAACTAATAAATCATAAAATTAGTACAATATTATCAGTTTTTAACTCTTAATCACTTCAATATTCACAAGGACGCGAACTCCCGTAAGGATGTCGGTCTTTAATAGTATCTCGTCGGTGCAGTGGCGTAAAAAATAATTTTATATTACTGCCCGTATCGCTCAGCTGATTGGTTGCTGCTTTCGATGCTTGACGCTTGACGCTTACATGTGAATGCACCTTAAGACGTAAACTTAAGCCGATGAGCCAATCTTAAAGGCCCGTCTACAATTTTATTCTTCTCACATTCGACTGTGATTGGTCAATTTCTTACTCTTACTTCTTACTCCGTGTATTGTAGACGACGCCTAAGATATAAATTAAAATATTTATATTTTATTTTTCACTGCAACGGAAAATGCAAAAAAAAGTTGGCCAACGTTACACGGTGTTCCCAAGCGGTCACCCATCCAAGTACTAACCGTGCCCAACGCTGCTTGACTTCAGTGATCGGACGAGAACTGGTAGTTTAAGCGTGGTATGAACGTTGGCTGGTTGCTTGTATTATTCAGAGTCATTTTACTTGGTTTTAATCCGAAAATAAGATTTTAGAATAGAAATATAAATATCAATAATTCTAATTGAGTGGACTCCAATATTCGAGTACTTGGATAATAACAATTATATATATAACCGCTTGATTGTTTGACACAGTAAAACGGTTATACATATAATTATTATTACCGAATAATACTCGAATACTGGAGTCCAATAAATTGGAATCATTTATATTTATATTTCTAAAATCCTTTTTTCCGATTAAAACCAGGTAAAATGTCTCTGAATAATGCAAATAATCAGCCAACGTTCATACCACGCTTAAACTACCAGTTCTCGTCCGATCACTGAAGTCAAACAGCGTTGGGCACGGTTAGTACTTGGATGGGTGACCGCTTGGGAACACCGTGTAACGTTGGCCAAGTTTTTTTTGCATTTTCCGTTGTAGTAAAAAATAAAATTTAAATATCTTAAGATGTAAATTAAGATATTTATATTTTATTTTTTACTGCAAAAACGGAAAATGCAAATAAAATCTTGATCAACGTTACACGGTGTTCCCAAGCCGCGGTTACCCATCCAAATACTAATGCTGAATTCACACTGCATCCGATGTGCGTCGTACGATGCTCTGCCACCATTCAGAAAACAGGATTCCGATGGATTTTGCTTCGTATCTTCGGAATCCTGTTTTTTAATTGGTTGCAGACCATTGTACGACGCAAGTCGGATACAGTGTGAATCCAGCATAAACGGTTATGCATAAACGGTTATGCCCAACGGTTGGGCACGGGCCCAATGTTGCTTGACTTCAATGATCGGACGAGAACTGGTAGTTTAATCTCGGATTTACAATGGGTGCTTTCCAATTATTTAATACATCTTAACACAAACGTACACAGAATGCACAAAGTGTAACGTTGTGCACGATTCAATTGGAACAGAATGTGTACGCTGTGCACGGTTGAGATCCGTTTCGGTTAGATTAAATGAATGCTTTCCATTTGATGACACAAGTCGAACGATGACACAAGTGTCGTTCTATCTTTGTCACTCTCTGAATATCAACAAGGATAAAACGACGCTTGTGTCGACTTGTGTCATTAAATGGAAAGCACCCAATATAGCTTTTTTTCGCCTATATTAATTAACGAAAGTAAATAAAAACGCCGACCACTCACGTCTTCCAACTTCATTTAGGATCTTTTTCACCAATACCAATTCACTTAATCAACTGATTAGTCCATTAGAATTGACCAATCGAATCTATCGTCAAACAAAATGACAAATGAGATTGGTCAATTCCGATGGACTAATCGATCGATTAAGTTAATTGGAGTTGGTAAAAGAAACCCTTATAGCCACTGTAGTTAGTAATATGTAATTGTCACTAGAAAACACAAGTTTACCTAGCCCTCGGCTGAGTACAAAGGGTTGATTCTATAGGTCTGTTCTTTTTGGCTGAACTTTTGCACCAGTTCATCTTTCTTCCTTTTCTCTCCAGGAAGAAAGAAGAGGAAGAAAGATGAACTGGTGCAAAAGTTCAACCAAAAAGAACAGGCCTTATATCTTTAATCAAGGTGAAAATTACAAAAGTGAGCAAATTTACTAGGTGTTGACCAATGAAATTATCAGTATTCTAATAAATTCACTAACTTTTGTAATTTTCACCTCGTTTCAAGATACAAAATCGACCCCCAGATGTAGTGTTGTGTCGACGATAACTTACAATTAGAACGCAATTTGTGTCGCCGCGTGCACGAAAGTGTCTAAGGACATTGCAAAGCACTCAATACGTGTTCTAAGCTTTAAGCTGTAAGAAATTGACCAATTAGTTCGGATTTACAATATCTGTTCTTATCTAACATATGCCAGCAACATTTATCGGGTGGCACTCAGTTGGATACGGCTCAATTGGACATGAGCCACTCACAGCGCTTGAGACTACAATACTCCTAAGCACCGGTCGCTGTGATTGGTGGTGTCCAATCGAGCCGTGATCAATCTGGATCACCCCCATTTATCGTAAGACCGCGCAACTACTGCTACTCCGAATTTCGGCTCTGTTGACAGTCCCAGTCTTCGCAAAGCACCTGTATACACGTATTTTCTATTTGGTGGTAATATTTCTTTTCTAGACTTTCAATCTTATAATGTTTTCGGCCCGATCAGGTTTACACCAACCTGGGTTGGAATAATGGAGTTTTGTGCTCTCCTATTGGTAAGTTTATAGAACTAATAGCGTTTTCGGCCCGATCGAGTTTGCACCAACCTTGGTTGGATTAATCTTTTCTATTGGTTGACGTCACCCGCTCTACCAATAGGAGAGCACAAAACGCTATTAATCCAACCCAGGTTGGTGCAAACCTGGCCGGGCCGAAAACGCTATCAGTATCGTTCGTTTCAATAATGTGATTTCAGCTGCACGCTTATTTTCAAGATATGGGGGAGGGCTCCGATTGCACACATCGCATATTATACACATGTATCGCTGATTGGCCAATTTAAAAATAAAATTATCTCGTTGGCAAAATAGTGAAAAATTACTAGGCACCAGTTGATATTAGTGGTGTGTACAATCAGAACTGTAGGCAAACGGGATCCTCCCGAATTTTTAACGAATTTTAAACTTTTTTTGTATTTTTTCGTGAAATCCAGTGCAGCTGAGGTCCTGTTTGTACGTATTTTAATTTAAGTAATAATACTTTTGCAATCCGTACATCCAATATGGAGATTTTTCACCGAATGGAAATGTGATAAAACAGGAGGCTTTAGCATCACCTTAAACGCCGCTCTCTATTAGCCGATCGCGCGCGCGACGTCAATTGGTGGAGCAAAAGTAGAGGGGTAGATTCTCGATCATTCTCGATGTGTCTGAGCCGAATGTGCATCTCTGGCATCTCTGCATTCTCTGTTCCAGAAAAGTATTGTCTATGGTCTATGCTAGTTACTCTGGTTGTTTGGTGTGTACTGTATGTCTGTATAGCAATCTGTGGTTTTGACAAGAGATAAACTTTTTTATTTTACATGAAAACTGTATTACAGTTACGTAACTTCTTTTATCAATTTTTTCTCAACATATCAGATTAGGTAAGTGAAAAATTGTCACATAATTGACAAATCAGCATCACAACTTCATTTTTTTAAACGATAATTCACCTAACCTCTAAAACCACGTGGTACAATATGTAGTACAATATGTAGTATTGTTATTTTAATCAAGGATTTATCAAGTTATTTTCGCATATATGACGCTTTGTTTGTTATCACGATCTTTTTTATGATTTTGATTAAGTTAACACAATAGACTTTTTATATACAACGAAATATACATATATAAATATAAATTTTGTATTGATTTCTATGTATCTTTTGGCAAAAAATGTTCGTTAAAAGAAATAAAATTGTTTATTTTATTTGAAAGCTAAATTGCAATTATGTAACTTTTTTTTATTGTTTACTAATAATTTTATCTTTTTTTTATATGGCAGAAATTTCATAAAAGATTAATTAGAATTATTTAAAAAAAAAGTAAAAGAAATATAATACATACAATGGAGAATCTGCATCAAGAACACTTTACATGCTGTACATGCAAAGTAAAGTTTACAGATTTGGCAATATTTAAACATCATTATCGTAGTGAATGGCATAGATATAATATGAGTACAATAGTAAATGGATTACCTTCGATCACTCTTGAAAACTTTGAAAAGAAAGAAGCGATGCATCGTGAGAATAACGCAAACCAGATTAAGAAAAAGCAGGTTTGTGAAGTCTGTCGAAAGAAGTTCAACAATCAGAAACAGTACGAGAATCATTTGGCCTCGAAAACTCACAAAAAGAATTTGGAGCAAAAAGACAATACAACTGTAGCTTACAGCAAAAAGTCGTCAAGCATACAGGATTCATCCAATAAGAATACGGACGACATTGAAACAGATTCGGATGTAGAATCCTTGGATTCAGACGAGTGGTTCGAAGACTTGAAGTATCAAATTATTTATGATAATTGTTTATTCTGCGATTATCATAATAAATCCATAGAGTGCATTATGATACACATGGAGAAGAAACATTCGTTTTTCGTACCTGATCTTGAATACTGCGTGGATCTAGGTGGCCTGTTAAAATACTTGGAATATAAGATATGTACTGAATTTAAGTGTATTTGGTGCAATGATTCAGGTAAATAAATCATTCTTTTTTTGTTAGTTACTTTCTCCATTATTTATATATATTATATTTGATTAAAATAAAAGAATTAAAAATTTGAATCGAACAAAAAGAATCACAATTATAAAAAGTTTAATAATAAAGTAAAAATCAAGTAAAAATTTGTATATTTTTACAGGAAGAAAAATGCGAAGCACACAAGCAGTAAGGATGCATATGATCGACAAGGGCCACTGTAAAATGTTGTTCGAAGGGGAGACAATACGCGAGTATTCATCTTTTTATAATTACTTATCCAGCTATCCAGATGCCGAAAATGCCGATCCAGATGAAGAAGTGTTGGATCTAGAGGTTTTAGACGACGAGGGTTACATGATGAAGCTACCGTCTGGCAAGTCGATCGTCCACCGTGATTTGGCACTTTATTATAAACAGAATGTACCTGTGGGAATCACAGCGATGATAAAGGACTCAGATTATTGTCGACGCAAGCGAATACATAAGCAAATATCGTTTGGGTCTGAGGAAAGAAAACTTGAAGTCGCCCGGATTACAGCACGAGACATTCAAAGCTTCCAACGAGTTCAAGCCAAGTACTTAATGCAGCTGCAAGTCAAACAAAACAAGCTACAGAAATATTTCAGACAACAAACGAACTTTTAACTATATTTAATGACTAAGTATAATTAGATATGCATAATTTTTAGAAAGTTGTAAGTTATAAAAAATAAAATATGCATTTAATAATATAAAGTTGATTATCCCTGCACCATTACATTTTATTATCACATTATTTATAAGTACAACAAAAAACGCAACTTATATAACTTAATTACTCATCTAAATGGATTTTATTCTAGTTTTAATCATTTAATTCTCATTTAAAATCAGATTTAAATATTAGACACGCCATAACTTCGCGTCCTTTCGATTGCTAAGAAATCGAAATTTATTATTTTTGAAGGATACATCACGTAATACAAATTATTATAAATCACTTTATAATTCGCATTTTACGGATGTTCTTATAAAATAACTCGTGTATATTTTATAAATACTCTTTTGTAACACGTTTCACCGACAAAAATATCTTCTATTTTTTTCTCGAATTTTTTTTTAAATTTATATGGACTCGTTATATCTAGAGCAATATCTCCATATTACGACCGAAGTCGCCGCTTTCGATAGAACGTAACAAATATATATATAAGTTAGAAAAAGATCTTATACATCATCGCATTTCGCTGATGTTCATATGAGAAAGAAAGAGTGAGGAAAAAGATATAATTGGATGTTCACCTCATGACTACAATTCACGGTGACTTCAGCGAATCACGAAATGTAAAGACATTTAATAGTATTTGGTACTTTGATATTTTATGACTTTCTTTTTGTTTCTTTCTATTAGAAATTCATCAGATCAATACTTTGTTGTAATTCATGCTTTCCTTTTAACCTTCAGATATCTTCTCTGAATTCCTGTTACATACATGCATATATAGATACTCCATTCTTTTTTAAAATTAATTATGAAAAATATATATATGTATATAATTAAAAATATAATATTGCTAATAATAGAAATGATAATATTAAAGTGTTTTGTTTTCTTAGAAAATGTTCCAAAATTACTTGTTCCAAGATTGTTGTAATACCTATAACGGGATTTTTAGAAAGAAGATTCTTATATATACATATATATTTTATCGTTCAATTAGATTTGATCATTGGTATTTACGTTTGTTTTAAATCTTTATGATTTTTAATAATATGTATATAAGAATTGAATGATATACACGATTTTACATTTCGTATTATATCTTTTTTACTATAATAGATTTGACTTTTAGAGTCGTGTTGACTTCCGTGTAGAACAGAAATAAAAGATCCGAATGTGAGACGTCTATCAAACGTCTAAATGGACGTCTAAACATTTGATAGACTTTATAGCTGATTCGCCCATTCGCTGTGTTAAATTATTCAATTTCATTGAATAATTGTTCTTTGTTTCCGTTTCTCTTAACAACGAACATTCCTTCTTTAGAACACACAGGGGCAGTAATACCGGATACCATTCGGATACGTTTCGACACGTATTACGTGAAACGCATAATACACACATTTCTCTTTTGTTTTTAGATAAATATTCTATGAGAAGATGTCACGTCATTCGTGACATCGAGACATACATTAAGTGCTGTTATTGTCACGACACGACGATGATACATATATCTTTTATCTACTTTACGCTTTACGGTTTCGTGTGTGTTGACGGTTTAATTTAATTATAAGCTCTCCAAGCGAGCGGACTTTCTCATTTTATCTTCAATCTAACAACTTCACCATCAGTTTTAACGCCTGATGGGGCGGCGCCGGTCTGATAGACTTGTCCAATTCCGTGTACGGGATTTCTGCTTCCACCTGGTAGCCGTGCTTCAGATAGACTTTCAGTGAGAATGCACTGGTTGCATCAGCCTTACACACCTGTGGTGATATGCTGTATCAGATTTGTTTTTCATTCTTCTTTTATTAAATTTTATTTTGAATAAAATTAAAAGATCTCATTGAAGGTCTTTTGGAAAAGTTCCTAAAATAAGTGGATTGAAACAAGAAGTCCCTTTGATAGATAAAAATGTTTTTGAGAATTGTGTATCTCGTTATCAATTTTATTTGATTTTTACGATAAGCCTTTTTTCCTTGTAATCAGCTTAATAATATAGATAAACAATCTGATGAACAAATCCATTTAGTTTTCATTTTTCTAACTTGTAAATATTGAGAGATAAGAAACGGAAATAATAATTAACATTGCCGATTTTATGGTATAGATATTATCTATATATCAGTTACTTTCCTAGAATTATATATAAATAGTTAAGATACTTCTAGAACTGACGTCATTCGATAAATTAATAAATAATTTGACTACTAAATTTTGAAAATTAAAAATAAAAATAATTATTGATAAATTAATAGATACATATAATATTCATTTTTTTTATATTGATTTATATATTATCTACTCTATCACATTTATTCATATTATTTATTAGTTCATATTAATTTATTTATCATGTTAATCTGATCCTTTACTGTGAAAGGGAATGTACATATGAAAATGCAAAAAATACCTTTTAAGAAAAATGTGCGAGCGATAGATTGTAATTATACCTTGTGAAGAAGTAAACAAAAATTATCCCATGCATATTAACTGAAGAGCATGCTGAAACAAAAGGAAAGGGTGTGCTGTATATGCAAACCAGTGATCACGCCAACGCAACAATTTTAAATTAATGAAATAAAAATAAAAAACGCGAAATTTCTTTATAACATGTAAAATCGATAAAATAACTTCATAAATATATATTATATATATATATATA